CTGCTTTTGCTTGAGCTTCGAGATATTTAATATTTGTAGAAAGTCTCATTACTAAACCGCCTTTGATAATTATTGTAAGATCATCTGCAAAAAGGTGGCTAACTGTTTGTAAAAAATAAGAAGGTAAATAATGTATATGAAGACTAAATAACAGAGCAGCTAACACAGTTCCTTGAGGAGCACCTACTAAAATAGAAAAGAATCTGGATTTGGCATTCCCATGACTTACACTCATTTTCCGACCTTGAAGCCAGTTAAAACGAAAATAATAGCTCAACAGAACACGTTATGATTATACTTTTTAATCATGATTAGATCCGGTCACATCCATAGCATGTCATGAAAACCTAGAATTTCGTATGCCGGCATACTACCACACTCACACTCTCTAGTCACACCCACACCCCAAAAGTGAAGAATATAGCTCATATTTATGATTTATAACGGTTGAATCTTGCTTGATGATTGAATGGAAAAAAAAGAAATAATAATATTCGATTCATGCTAAAGTTTTATATTTTGGTTCTATGGTTTTGCATATAAAAGCTAAGTACCAGAAGAGTCTTTATCTCCTGGGAATGCGAATATCTTACTCTTCTATCCTCTTATACAGCATCGTAAATACGAAAAATTCACTTTAGATCTATTAGAAAACTTATATACAATCGAAACGACACAATTTACAAAAAAAAATTAATTTTATTTGATCTTTTTGAACTAACATGGCGACTTCAATGTCATCAGTTGATACCTATCACACAAAATCTGATGAGATGCATCTTGAAATTTTCTGCCTTGTCTGGCTTGATGCTGGTTCAACTGCCAAAGGCGGTCGTGATACTGAACAGCAGTTACGTTCTATTATTAATCATCTCCGGAAATTTCAAGATGTAGCCCTGTGCCAAAAATATATACATGAACGAACTGCAAAAGAACGAGTATTGATGGTTGTCAGTGGCCAATTGGGACGAGAAATTGTTCCTTCTATTCACCATCTTCGACAAGTTATATCAATCTATGTTTATTGTTTCGATAAGAAACGCAATGAACAATGGGCTTCCAAATATGCAAAAGTAAAATCAAACTGGATATTTTTGAATTTTATCTTAAGGTTTTTTTTATTGATAGGTAAGGGCTGTTGTTGTTGAACTCGATGAACTCGTTTCTCGTATTAAAGCTGATCATAAAATCCAGAAAGTGGTGGAAGAACCCTTATCGATTAATATTTTTACTACAGGTGGCGGCGCAGGTAACTCGACAACTGGTTTAAATGGTGAATTTGTTTTTTCACAAGTTTTGATTGATTGTCTTATTCGACTACGATACACTGAAGAAGATAGAAAAGAACTTATTCGTCTTTGTAAACAGCAATATAAAGGTAATAGTGTTGAATTAAGTAATATTCGTGAATTTCAAGACGAATATTCATCTGACAATGTTTTATGGTGGTACTCACGAGAATCGTTTTTCTACAAAACTCTTAATGCCGCTCTTCGTACTCCTGCAGATATTCATGCCATATTTTTGTTTCGTAAATATATCACTGATATTCAAGATCAATTAGAAAATCATCAAGCTAAGCATGTTCTTCGAGTGTATCGAAGTCAAATGATATCAAGTGATGAATTAGAAACTTTAAAGCAATGTCGTGGTCAATTCATTTCTGTGAATTCATTTTTTTCTACAAGTCTTGAGAAACAAGCAGCTCTATCATTTCTCAAGGTTCCTGATGGTACAGAAAATCTAGAAGCAGTATTATTTCAAATCGATGCCGATCCTAAGATGGCAATTACAAAACCGTTTGCTGATATCAGTGAATCTAGCGATTATAAAGATGAAGCTGAAGTGCTGTTTATGCTTGGTTCTATTTTTCGATTGAACAGTATCAGCCGAAGCAAGCATGGTCAAGTATGGATCATCCAAATGTCCTTGTACAACGATGATGAACATGATTTGAAACAAGTTCTCATGGATATGAAAGAGCAATATTTGAGTGAAGAAACAAATCTTCAGACATTAGGGAAAATATTATGGGAGATGGGAAAGCCTGATCTTACTCAAAAATACTTTGTGCGCATGTTAGAAGCGCTTCCATCTAATGACCCATTACGTATTGATCTGTATTTGGATCTTGCTACACTTGAATCACATGCTGGTAACCTGGACAAAAATATGGAATGGCGCCGAAAAGCAGTTGCATTGAAAAAAGAAATTCAATCTACTTCTTCTTTCAGCATTAGTAAACTAAAGAATCCGATTGGTAAGTTAATTGAAAGATAGTCTATTATATTATCGCATAGTCACCGAATAGGAGCAACGATTTTTCATGCAGTTAAAATGAACTCATAGAGATGATGATATAGTTTTTTCTTCTTTCTTTAGATGCATCAAAGCAACCAGAAGTGAAACCCGTTTCGACTGTACTCAAGTCCAAACAAAAACTTGAACCTACGCCAAAATTAGGTATGTTACGCTAAACATTAAAAAAAATTACTCGTTAACGGGATAATTCGATTAGTTCTATATCGCTCATTCACTGCTACAAGAAAGAACATCTCTCGTATTATTTGTTAGCCTAGGCCATGAGATACTCCTCTGTCTAATATGGAGAATATGAATACTCTAATATTCGAACTCGAATGTGATCATTGTGATGAACATACTTTGCCTCCTTATTTCTGTAATTTAGTACCGTGTCGTGAGCCACATGATTCGAACTGATTCTCAAAGTTTTGCACATTTAAGGTTAGGTGTAGGGATGTTGTTGAAAGAGAAGAAAAGCAAATGTAAAGTAACAAGAACATCCATAATCATATCCATACCTCGATGAGTAATTCCAATTCGTCTCCAACAACAGAAGTTATGCATCTCTTTGCTATGCAGAATGTACTCATCGCCCTCTACTTCGTCAGGGTCTATCGGATCTTTGAAAATTTCTGCTCATTTACTTTCTTACATAGTTTTTGCGATACGTTTCACCATTTGAATTTATTATAATCTATAATCTAGTTATATCTGTCATTTATAATAAATCGCATACTTTTAATGGATAAAACCTCTGTTCTCCACATTGTTCGAAGCGAACTGATATGTCTATTAAAATACACTTGATCGTGTTGAAAAGAATAGCAAATTAAAGCTTAAGGCCAAAATAAAACGCATTTTATAAGCGATCCATAGAATGCTTTCATTCTAATGAGAAAATTCACAAATAGTTTTTTGAGCATTATGTATTTATTTTCTATTTCACAGCATATTCACAGTGTGAAGAAAAGAATTTAAAATATTATGCTCGTTTAAATCTATAGATCTGGTATAGTCGAAGTAAGATCGAAAATATCTATCAAAAGCTACATATTCTCGAATAGCAATATCACCACAGAAAATGAAATATCAACGAATTTTCTTTGTAACACTCATGAATATGTTCGGCAAACAAATAGCGAGTGTAAGTTTTAAGTTCAAATTTTTCGGCTCCCCAGTTCCGTCCTTCTTTATTGCAAACAGTAAAAACTGAGCAGTCATCCTATTCCGCCACCGGAATCAGTTCCATCTAATTTCAGGAACTCGATTATCATTCAACATAAAAGACCTATTCCACATCGATCGAGTTCCACCAACTCCCGAAATACCCGGAACTGAGTTCAGACGCAATTACTAGCAATCTCCAGAAATTCCTTCCAATTCCGGCATTCGAGTAGTACTTGGAATTCGGGAATTATACGGAATTGGAAGAGGTCCTAGGAATTCCGGAATCAGAAGAAATTCCCTGGAATTCCTTCTAATTTCGTCTCGACTCAATTCCCAGAATTCCGTACCCTAATTACTTACTTATACCAGGCATTCATCTTCCGCTACACCACCATGCGTGAGGGTGAGGGCGAGAAGTAATTCCGGTGTGGAATTCCGGAAATTGAGTCGAGACGGAATTACACGGAATTCCGGAATCAGAAGGAATTCCGTTTCAACACAATTCCCGGAATTCAGAAAATTGACGGAACTCGATCGATATCGATTGGACCTGTTCTGTGGAATCATGATCGAGCTCTCGAAATTGGACGGAATTTGTTCCGGAGATGGAACTGATTCCGCAATGTTTAACATCGCGGAATAGGATGCATTCTTTGGAAGCTAGACATCGGTGTGACCAACAATTTTTGGTAACGGGCACGCACGGTCAAGGTCGTGCTATGACCGTGACTGTGACCGTGAGTCACGAAAATTCTATGGTTTGTATAAGTATGATATCTTTCGGTCGTCTGTGTACATATGTATTATGCAGATAGGTCTGGTTTACACTACGCAGTGATGGGTTTAGAATGGAAGCAATATGGCAATCGCCGCCTCCTTCCCTTTCTAGACAATTTCCCCGGTTTGTCTCGAAAAAACAAACGAAATGAGTTGATACTATCTTGGATGATCCCTAAAAAGAGGTTTTTACGCAAAATCGCTCTCGTCGTTGAAAATCCTAGATCCTCCACTGACACTACGAAAACGAATATTTATTTAACTCCGTTTCGAAACAGTGAGAGAGTGCAATAGGACGATTGCACTTCATTCGAGAAAATATTCTCAATTTTATCCAGCAAAAACGAACGAAAACCACCTTCATACTATTTCGAATGCATCTCAAAATATGTTTTTTACATGTGATTTCATTCTCTTCCAAAATCATAGACTCACGATTGTTTTAAAAGTGTATTAAGTTAATACACTTTTTAAAACCACATTAAACTTAAATCGCCATTCAAAATTAAGTTCGATTTGTGTGCTCCAATTGAACTTGACAAAGTGATACTTCATTATATACTTTGATTGATGCATTAACTTATAAGTGTAAATGTCCATCATTTTAATATGAAGTCACTACCATATTATTTTTTTTAGTGTAGACTAGGTCATAAAACGCTGAGTAAATGTTGTTTCTATTTATGAAAATTATAACATAATGGCTATTGGTGGTGCGAAAAAAGGAAAAGAAAGGAATTTAAAATCAGATATATCAAAATATATCTGATTTTTAGATTGATTGTAGACTTTAAGCACTCTCAAAAAAACTCTCCAAAGAAAATTTGTTGCAATTGATTGAATTCTCGCATGAGATTAGAAAAACAGCAGTTATATGGCCATGTTGAAAATTTATCGTGACCGGCCGTGACCAGGTTCCAGTCACGGTCACGGCTTTTTTAAAGAAACTGGTCACGATTGTGAGTCACGGCGGTCACGTCGATGTCTAGTAGAAAGTAGTTTTATAATCTCTGGGTATTCAAGTTTGTGTGGCATCTGCATGTCTCACAATTGATCCCCAAAGAAGCTGCGCTAATAAGATTTGTGTTTTAGAACTTATTTTGTTCATTCTGGAGACATTTCAATCTTAGATATGATTGACTAATTTATAAACCTCTTCTAGAGGAGACAAGATTCTTTTAGATGAAATTCTCTAATTCAGAGACAGACTCAACGCTAACTATGTTATTTTTGCAACCAATAAATAGTGCAAAATAAGTAAAATATCCATTTTAACAATGCTGGTCTTTACCGTATGTGCAGTAGTTAATGCTTGGTTGAAACATTAAATTTCATACATTACTGACTAGTCTATTCGTCATAAGTACATGTGGTTGAGATATTATCAGTTCTACGTAGCTATGTCCCGAAAAATAAATGAACGAATTTGAAAATAAAACGACAATGAATCCTATTTATGTAACTATTCGACATGTGAATTAAAATATAGTCGATCGTATTGTAAAATTATTCGATATGTCGAAAAGAAATTCAATTTAAATTTAAACATTATTACAAGAAAACCATTATCTCACTAAATCTATCGAAAAAATTTGACGTAGTTAAAGAAAGTCAATGCCATTTAAACGAAAAAGAAAATGTATTTCTTTTTTTCTAACCATACACACACATAATCCAAACTATGAATAGGTGTTGCACCATACGATTCACGTCTTATAAAAAAAGAGCAATTCATTCAATAATCAAATCTATTTTTTAACCTACATATGAAGCCAAATTTACTGAAAATCACTATAAATCTCTAAACAAAGAGAATATAACCCGAAGGGCGTTGGCAGCTAGAATCAGACTCTTTTTAATTTCTGTGACTTTTTCGATTCTTTTATTTAGAATTGGTTAAAAATAATAAAAAACTATGTATGATCCGATATATTAAGATATAACATTGTTGTTGAAAAAAGAAGTCTACTAATGATACGACAGAAAATTAACTAATTTTTTGTTCATCATCTCAAAAATGAATAATGTTTCTGTTAGTTTTAAGATACTTTTACATTTTTATTGCGACGATGGAGAAATCTTTGGATTTATCTATGCATCTACTGATTTTGCTCAGAGGTAAATAAAGGGTGTGGGTGTGGGGTGTGAAAGAATAACATAGATCCACTCACAATCATAGCCACCCACACCCACACTCCGCCCACAGCCACCCACATTCACACCCTTCAAATATCCATTTTCTGTCTTACGCTATATTTTGTTCGACTTTGTATTATTTTTTGTTAAGTTTCTCAAATATTTGGAAGCTTTTCTCTTCCACTGATAGTAGATACCCAGTCAAA